AAGGTTTGTGATTTCTCAATAAACTTGACTTTTGACATAAACACAAATACAAGCAGCATTGTGATTCTGACCCAGCATACATCACGTAAAATCAGACCTGAACACGCATCTTAAATGCTGATCGTCTACTATTCGATCATACGTCTCGTCATTGTCATTTAAAATAACGTCCCTTAATTACTTTCGTCCTTGACTTTGTACGCGATGTGTTTACACAAAGCTCTTCTCTCTCGCGAGAGGATTGTTAGAAGGGAAAATAGAGAAGTATCTTTTGGCTTATTATTTTAATTCTGACAATTATAATGTGGTACACTACACTTATTGATTATAACATTTATTGAGTTAATTTGTGTGTGTCTTTGCATAGCACAGCATTCGTTCGTCACGCCGAAGACCCGGGTTCGATTCCCGATATGGGTACAATGTGTGAAGCCATTTTCTGGTGTCCCCGGCCGTGATATTGCTGGTTTATTGCTTAAAGCGGCGTAAAACAATACTCACTCACTTTGCATTGCACACGAGTGCTATTTGTGTTCGGGTAGTCATGGTAACAGTTATCTCTAACACAAATGAGTTCTCTGCAAGGGACGTAAGTTGTTAAGATTAATCGTATAAAAGATTGCTTCGTAAATCTAGACCGTGGTCTCTAATGTTTCAGCTCCAGTTGAGACGCGCCAACTCATTTATAGAGAATCTCACCCGAGTGTCTTATGATATCAAATATATCAACACGAGTTGTGGGGGAAAAGAGGGGAAACTCCGAGGCTTGTCGAGGTTTTTTCCCGCTTTTATCAAAAATGAGTTAGTCTCTAATGTTTCAGCTCCTGTTGTGACGCCTCACTTCATGTAATGAGTTCATCCCAACGTTTCAGCTACAGGTGTCACGCGCCACTTCCTATAATGCGATGGTCTCATATACTTTAGCTCCAGGTGTGTGGCACTAGTTCAAATAATGCGCTGGTCTCTAACACTTTAGATCCAGGTGTGTGACACTAGTTCATATAATGGGCTGGTCTCGAACACTTTAGATCCAGGTGTGTGACACTAGTTCATATAATGGGCTGGTCTCTAACACTTTAGATCCAGGTGTGTGGCACTAGTTCATATAATGGGCTGGTCTCTGATACTTTAGATCCAGGTGTGTGACACTAGTTCATATAATGGGCTGGTCTCTAATACTTTAGCTCCAGGTGTGTGGCACTAGGTCATATAATGCGCTGGTCTCTAACACTTTAGCTTCAGGTGTGTGGCACTAGTTCATATAATGGGCTGGTCTCGAACACTTTAGATCCAGGTGTGTGACACTAGTTCATATAATGGGCTGGTCTCTAACACTTTAGATCCAGGTGTGTGACACTAGTTCATATAATGGGCTGGTCTCTAATACTCTAGCACCAGGTGTGTGGCACAAGTTCATATAATGGGCTGGTCTCTAATACTTTAGCTCCAGGTGTGTGGCACTAGGTCATATAATGGGCTGGTCTCCAATACTTTAGATCCAGGTGTGTGGCACTAATTCATATAATGGGCTGGTCTCTAACACTTTAGATCCAGGTGTGTGGCACTAGTTCATATAATGGGTTGGTCTCTAATACTTTAGATCCATGTGTGTGGCACTAGTTCATATAATGGGCTGGTCTCTAACACTTTAGCTCCAGGTGTGTGGCACCAGTTCATATACTGGGCTGGTCTCTAATACTTTAGCTCCAGGTGTGTGGCACTAGTTCATATAATGGGCTGGTCTCTAATACTTTAGCTCCAGGAGTGTGGCACAAGTTCATATAATGGACTGGTCTCTAACACTTTAGCTCCAGGTGTGAGGCACAAGTTCATATAATGGACTGGTCTCCAATACTTTAGCTCCAGGTGTGTGGCACTAGTTCATATACTGGGCTGGTCTCCAATATTTAAGTTCCAGTTGAGATGCACCACTTCCTAGTATAGTGTGATGTTCGCAAATGTTTTATCTCTGGGTGTGAAGCGCCACCTCCTAGTTTAATGTTATGCCCTTAATGTTTCAGATCCAGTTGAGATGGGCCAAATAAATCCTATTATTAGTAGTATGTGTTGGTATGCCACCTCCAACTATTATGAGCTGGGTTTTTTCTTATTCATATCCTGTTGAGACGCATCACTTAGAGGAAGCGGTGATTTTCAAAACAGAATCATTTTCTTCAATATAATGAGTTGGTCTCTATAATATTGTAGCTCCTGTTTGAATGGAACTTTTGCTGTTTCTAAATATTTACTTCATTCATAAAGTTGCTGCAAACATTCAAGTAGGAATGAATAAGACCAACAATTTGACAGTTGATGTAAGTATGTTTAAAGGGAGACTAAGTAAGACTAAGTAAGGCCTTGTCACACATCACCTTGTCAATTAATCCCAATTCCATTTTCTATCATCATAATCTGTATTTGTTTAACAAATATGGCAAATAATCACCATTATGTGTTTAACTCCCGATAAATACAATGGTTAAAAATATATTTGCCAGAGGCTGATTTTGGTTGGGTTTCGTATGGTGTGACAGAATATGTATAAGATTCATTTTAACATAAAATTTGTCTGTTATCAAAAATGTCTAGGTGTTTCAATATTTCTACTGGCCTGTATGCACTGCCTAGCCATCGATAATAGTGCCGGTATTGTAAGGTTCCTACTTTACTACATTAATCGTAATATGGAAGCACCCGAATGTGGCAAGTAAAGTCAAGTAAGCGCTCTTGTTTGACATCTAATTGTCCAGTAATTCATATACAACTATTTTTGTGATTTCTGTTATAACGTTCCCGTCGACTTACTGTACCAGTTATCGCCATCGTCTTAACAGCACGTACCACGTGATCACGCGCATCGCTTTAGTTATACAAATTGCATGTCTTAGTATCTCGGGTATCGCACTCAATTTTTTTTCATGAAAATGAATAAGATACCATTATCAATTTGTCGTCTGCAAACTGACAAAACACAATATTCTCCAAATTTGGTCTTCTTTATTAGTAGCATCAAACAAACATGGCGGATTGGTGTCCAGTATCATGCATGTTTTACCCAAATAGGTTTCAGAATGGTATTTTGGGAAGACAGATAGAAAGCAAGGACAGAACTGGAAGTGCGTCATCGTGTTGTTTGATTTTTGCATGAAATACTCACTTGACACAGCCCACGCATCTTTTCTAAAGTTGTATTTCAGCAAGGTGATAATGGTGTTTTTTAAAATTATTTCCTGACAAGAGTCCATTTCTCGTTATTTTCGGATAAATATTTCTCTCTTCTAATAAGAACGAGCAAAAGTAAAATGAGATGCGATCACGTGCGCGCTATAACGGGGAGCTGGCGATAATTGGTCCTCGGTCATAACTGGTCAGTACCGATATAAATTCCCGATGAAATTGTCACCGTTTTTCACATCAAAACAAAATTGACGGAAGTGGTCGTGATTAGTTCGTACGCAGACTGTCAAAGAGAATGTTACAATAAGAATGACAGTTTGGAATTTATATTTTGAAGAAATCCCGATTACGTCCATGGAGGTTTCTCTGTCCGTGCTCTATCATTAGTGATAAAAACAATTTCGGGGAAATTGACATGGACATTTCCAAAGGACAAAATGTGAAAGATCGCGAAACAGCCCTAACAATACTCAAATTGACATCGCTCAAGATCTGACATCATTATTATGTCTTAATAATTAACAAGATTATAACGTACTAACACCCAAGAGTAAGTATATGTAGATTCCATCAAAATCGTTGAAACGATTTCATGGTTTGAAATCTGTAAAACAAACCTATTTTCGATCACTCGTAACTTTGGCGCTGCTTGTCATACAAGCATATTGCTTCGATGTGCAATCACACAGACAGCTTAATTATATTTCGGGTGTTATGATGTGCTGTTAACGAGATGTTTAAACGAGATGTAATTAGACAATTTTAATACTTGAATTTGAAAGCTCAAAAAGCACAGAATAGGCTATGTTTAATACAAGGAAACGATAACTTTCACAGGTGAAAGAAGGCAATATTATTGTTTTGCCGTACAATTATAAGTAATATCTAGATCAAGTAAAAGAGAAAATATGAATTACAGTGTATATACAGTTCATGTGCTCAAAACTCTGAACAGATTTGTTTCACTATGTCCACTAGAAAATATACATCCTCGTCTCAGCATGTATTTCGAGCTTGGCTGCCTCACTTAGACCTTTGCTCAAAATATACTTGTATAGTCAGTCCTTGAAATACAACTTTTTCTTTCATATTGTTTTATAAATACAACTTTAGAAGTGTATTTTACACCTAGGTATGTACATTCGTGATAGTTTATTTCCAGTACAGTTTTCAATTTCATCCCATTCTACAATGGGGAAAGTTTGAAATAGATAATGAACGTTGGTGAATGAAAGTAATGGAATTATTTGTTATATATTCTTGGTATTGAACTTCGAAAATATAACTAACGCAATCTTTAATATTAATGGTTTTCGGTTATTATGTCTCTCCTTATTTCTTTTGGCCTAGCTAAACTACAGCTTGGAGGAAACTTACACAATTTAAAATTGTGAAAAAAGAACCACAAGAACGCATTCACTTTTCTCTTAGACAAGATTTTTCTTTTACATTTTCTATTTCTTACTAAAGATGCAAAACAAAGTAATTATTACTAAATACATTTGTCAACGATCGAAGTGTTTGATAATTTATATAATGCACAGTGAAAAAACCCAAAATGAAAACTATTTAAAACATCAAAACGAAATCACAGTTAGTCTACACTGAAATCAATTTGTCATTCAGAAATCGATTATATATGTAGATCTAATTATATTCACTGTTTTTGTTATTAATTGAACCATGCAAGGTTCTAATATATGAGGCTAAAACATTAAAAAGGTGTTCAATATTGGGTCCATTTTGACAGCTCAAAAATGCACAATATTTTCTTGGAATATCAAAACTTTTAACAGATATGAAAAGCACATTCGTCAACATACCAAAATTAGAAAACAGTGTTAGTCCAGTGGTAAACGGTCTCATTCACTCGTCGGTCGCCGTGGTAATCTTCCCATTCGTGATGTACGAGTCTTCTTTCAAGTTCTGTCAAAGAGAATATATTATTATTTGGAAACTGAAACCACGTGTCTCCATTATATGACCACAACATTAGATGTTTGACGTGACGTCATCCATGTCACAACACGCGAGGTGAAATCACGGGCACCTGTCCAGACGACAAAATCACAGCGGCGGGAAATCACCGACTGTCTATTTAGCCTAGACAAATAAAATTGGAGATTGTAACGTCATTGAACGAAAAGAAATAAAGCGTTTACTCACTGCTGACTTTTCAGATAACATATATGCAATAGATTATCAAATGCTAATCGAGAATACAGTCTACATGCTTATGGTATTAATCACTGGATTGTCTTGCCCTGACTCGATTATTTACAGACCGCCGTCATATAGCTGGAATATTGCTGAGTGTGGCGTTAAACAACGAACAAACAAACAAATAAACAAACAAATATTATTTTAGAAGTTATGTCGATGTATTCAATGGTTGTTTTATGTTTGTATCGCGTGTACCGTTTACAGAAACGAGGGCCGAGCTACCACACGTGAAACCGACCTTGACACAATTTGTTTACAATATAGGGTCGACTAACGATCGATGTGGTGGCCACACTTCTGAAATCTTCTTTTGCGACAAAATGTGAAACGGTTAGGGCAATTCATTCACACGGTCAGGTAGTTAGAGCAATAACACATGACTATTAGTCATTTCATGTGAAAAGAGCAGCAGTTATTTGTCGAAACGGGCGAGCTTGTAGGACAACTGGTAGACAAGAAATCTTGGCACTGCTATGATGCGAACGTGCCCTGTCGATCACTTCGGGCTTGTTTACGTTTTGATCATGGACTTGCTGCCCATAAATATACACTATACATATTAACGATCATAGCTATCATTCCACATCTTAGGTTTGAATATTTTCTGTAAATCAGCATCATAAACAGAAAGACAATCTGCACTGTCGTTTCGTCTCCAGCGCCGTGCTAAATCGCCATGACACAGAGTCGATAACTTCCGTTGCGGACTAAACGTTCGTGACTCACGCCAATAACTATACAGTGGGGAACAGTAAATCTTTCTGACCAGTTTTATATATTTCTTTTTCAAATTGGCTGTATGATATAATAATATTCCGTGAATGTGACATAGGTGCATAATAAAAAAATTCCGTCATTCGCATGAAGTTCAACATGACAGAAAAAGGACGAGAAGCGCGGTAACCACTTTACTAATCTCGCCATAATTCGCAATCCGTAACACTGTATAAAATATGAGTTACACTATGTTAAAGCTGAGATGATTTGGGTGATGATGGTTATAATTAATGGTCCCGTGGCACTAAGAGGGTGTGAAAAGGGAGGGACCATATATGGTCAAGTGTTCTAGGTGCCATTCTACACTCTAAATCTATGTGTTCTATTTGGCACCGGACACGTCAATACGTTCTGCAACAGAATACGAATGTTCTATTACCGACAGCACGTGTTATATTGCTGATCATGAACGCCTGTGATCTGTTGTAGAACGCGTGTCTTCTCTTCTGGGAGAGATCATGCACATGAGCAGAGATAATGTGCTGAATATTATAAGATAAATTAAAATTCGACCATATATTTTTTGTTTTCGGAATATTTATTTTAGAGAAGAAGAGAGGCTGATAAGGGTGTCTAGGTATTTTCATAGAAAACTCCCTTGATTATAATATTGATATTCCCACTCCCAACTTAGCAGTACTGGCAATAAATACCACAATAAAAAAACTTAGATAAGAGTAATAAATATATACCATTAAAAGACCAAACCCTTAAATAACGACGACTTTAATTTAACGACAAATTTAATAGAACCCAATACTATTATTCTTCAGGACCTTAATGCACACCGACCCGTGAAGGTCCGGGGTAGAATAGGTCTTCAGCAACCCATGCTTGCCGTGAAAGGCGACTATGCTTGTCGTAAGAGGCGACTAACGGGATCGGGTGGTCAGGCTCGCTGACTTGGTTGATGCATGTCATCGATCCCAATTGAGTGAATCGATGCTCCTGATATTACTCACTGGATTGTCTGGTCCAGACTCGATTATTTACAGACCGCCGTCATATAGCTTGAACATTGCTGAGTGCGGCGTTAAACAACAAACAAACAAACAAGAAGAATAATTACCAGAATGGCCACATATGCTCGAAAATGACTTGTTGAAGGTTGATTTGCTTTTCATCTTTTCCTCCAAGCTGTTGACCATCTCCAATTTGGTCCCTCCGGCGCCTACTTTTGTGTACCAGTACCGTACACCCAGAACCTACATGATATGATATAGAAAATGTTGAAACCATGAGTGAGTATGCTTTTCACTTCTATCGTGCCGTGTCACCTCAATATGTGACATCTCAAAGAGACACCATTCTATGTTTAACATTTTGCTCCCAAGTGTATGTATCGAGTTTCGTTTGTTATCTGCTTCGTGAACATAAGGTGAACTAAACTTATTTCATTTACATTATCATACAATTTAAAAAGAAATGAGACATGTATTTCAACTTCAATATCAACATTATTTTGGCCCTACAAATCTAGTCAGATATGGTATGCGTATATCTAAGTCTTACAGACTAATGATTTGTGATAATAATGCAATAAAGGTATCAATCTGAATAAATGTGGAACATAAACTTGGACAATATGCTGATGTTACTGAAATATTTCTAGATGGGACTGACGAAAGTTTAAGTACAGCGATTGACACCCTAAATGATTTTTATAAAATGTCAGGATTAAAAACTGATATTGATAAAACAAAAGCAATATGGATAGGCTCAATGACAGGCTGTGACATCAAATTGTGTCAGGATCTGAAACTAGACTGGCACAGTGGGGACTTTGAAATATTGGGAATAAAGCTTAATTCGAACTTAAATAATCTGTGGGTAATTAATCGAAAAAGAGAATTGAAATTATTAATCAAATTTTAGGGAATTGGAGGAAAAGAAATTTAACATTGATAGGTAAAATTACGTAGAGGGGAATGTCCGAGTAACTCTCCATTTCTTAAAGTTAATGGAGCAGAGGCCCATTATTTTTAAGGAATGGAGAGTTACGAGGATATTCCCCTACTTAAAACTCATCCCTACTTTTACACTTTGACAAAATATTCTGTAGTTGAAAATATTTGAAAAATAAACCAGAACTCTTTGTTGTCTGTATTTATACTGTGTGAGTCGACCTTGCGTGATGCACGAGGAATGCGTTCTCTGCCGCTGTTGCACGTGCGCCAAGCTCCGTGGTGAGTTGACATTTACAATGCATGGTACACGGCTCTTCATAATTTTGTTGGGTCCTAAACTAGTATTTATCAATCGCTTGCACATTGTTGATACATGCTGATGGGTATAATTGGATATATAGAGCCTCGAACAAGCGATATTTATGTTACCTTATTTGTTTTTTCTCGTCAAAGGTTTACCTAACTATCTATAAATATGAACATTGCTGTGGGTAACCTGCTCTAACACAAAATATATACATATTATATTTTGAGCTTTCAAGCATTATGCAAAATTATGAAATTATTTAATAGTTAATTTCACATCATGCCGCATCATGTGCCGCAGTAGCTGAGGTAGACAATTACACGTTTTCAAATCTAACGATGCGGGTTCGAACCCCGCTGGCGACACATGTTTTCGGGAAAAAAATGAAAATATTCACTTGTAAATAAATGTAAAAAAATAGTTCCGTCTGTTCCAAGTGGAAATTAATTCAAATGTTGCTTCAAGATCATGTACAGTTAACAGGCAACTCTCCATTCCTGAAAAATAATGGAGTGTTTAAACAATGGAATGACGTCACAGATGTGTTTTAATGTTGTCAAAACCTTGGCCCTGTCAACCTTAGTACATATATTTTCCTCTCTTCCAAACCCTCCAAGTGAATTTATTGATGAACTTAACAAAATATTTACAGATTCAAATTGGAATGATAAAAGGGACAAAATAAAACGAGCAACTTCAATTAGAAAATATGACGAAGGCGGACTGTCAGTTCTCAAAAAACATCTCCAAAACAAAAACTGTAATAAACCTAGCATCTTTCCACCCAAAAACATATTCCTACTTGGGGCCAATATTGAAAACTGTATACGCTTAGCTAACCCTTACTGGAGAGATGTTTTGGCTGCTTGGGGAACACTGTATAGAAGAAACAAAACTAACTCCACAAACATTGAAGAAGTACCATCAGAACCTCTTTAGTGTAACCATCAGTTTCAAAAAACGATTTCATTATAAGAAATTGGGTTTTAAAGGGAATTGACACTATTGAAGATCTCTGTAATTAAGATGATATAATGCCCTTCAATGAACTTAAAAGCAAATACCAAATTAAAGGCACAATTATTGACTATTACCAAGTTCCATTAAAACATACCTAAATCCTGGAAAGATACTTTTAGAAATAATCACATTATCTTATATAATCAACATGTAAATACAACTTTGATGGACTTACTTGTAGCGCCTAAAGGCTCCAGATATTTTATGATAAGACTATAACTACCGCAAATCTCCCAACAGTCTGTGAAAAATGGGATACCATTCTCGACTTAATATATATCATGCAAGGATGTTTTTATCAGATACAGAAAATGTACAAAAGATTTTCAATATAAATTTATTTCGCGCATCATCTATACAAAGAAAGAATTGTTTAAAATAAAAATTCTCGATGATGATCTGTGCTCATTTTGTGAAACTGATACTGAATCCTTACTTCATGTATATTGGGATTGTAAGCATGTTAAAGAGTTTTGGGCTAAAGTTGAATGTTTTCTGAATGCAAAATGTTCAAAACAATTTACATTTTCAAAATGCTCGGTTTTACTTGGGTACAACTCTAACATTCTGTTAAATCACATCATACTGGCATGCAAAAAATATATACATGTATCAAGTATTAAGAAAAACAAATTGTCACTTGAAAACATTCTGAAGACTTTTATTGATATATACTGAACAACAAAAGTTCCTGTGACATTGAAAACTTGTCCAAGGATTTAATGCAATGTTATGTTTTTACCAAATCTGAAACTATTTCAGTTTGCAACAGATAAAAGACTCCTGTAAGTGTTTATATTAAATGGTTTAATTTGCCATACTGACTTCAGAAAATTTCATAAAAAAAAACATGAACATGCCAAAATGTCAATTTACAAATCAATAGCGTGTGTGTCCACCTCTGGTTGCGATGCAAGCAACACATCTTCGTCTCATGGAATGGACCAGGCGTCGCATAAAGTCCTGTGAAATATCTGTCCATATCTGCTGGAGCATGTTTCGAAGTTCCTGGAGTGTCTGTGGAACACGTGGTTGACGTCGAAGGCGCCGATCCATCTCATCTCGATTGGGGAGCGAGCTGGCCAGGGGATGACATTCACGTTGTTTTGTTGAAGAGAATCCTGAACAAGTCGAGCAATATGAGGCCGGGTGTTGCCATGTTGAAATGTATTGCCTGGGCCATGACGACGCAAAAACGGTAGAACAACAGGGCCGATGATCTCGTCGCGGTAGCGCTGTCCATTGAGATTTCCACTACCACTATCAAACGTGTCCTCTGTCTTGCTGTAATCCCACCCCATACCATAACGCTGCCGCCCCCGAACTGATCTTCTTCCATGACACAATGATTGACGTAACGTTCACCTCGACGTCGGTACACTCGAATCCGTCCATCGCTGTGGCTGAGGTGAAGTCGAGACTCGTCACTGTATAGAACTTTTCCCCACTGCGTAGACGCTGTCTGCACCACTGTAGACGTGCTTGACGGTGGTTTCCTGTCAAAATGGGACGTCTGGCGGGTCTTCTGGCGACAATCCCTGCACATCTGAGGCGACGAAGTACGGTTTTTGAAGATAATCGTCGAAGGCCAGGGATGCTTCTTGCAGTCACTGTTGCTTGCTGGAATCGATTTCGTAGGTGTGTTGTTCGAATTCAGTTGTCTTATCGATGATTGGTTACGCGTTACTCCGAAAATGGTCTCTGACTGCATTCGTCTGTTGCCAACGTTGCCATAAACACCAAATGGTGTTTCTGTGGACGTTAAATTGTCTTGCAACATCACGTGTACTCGATCCTGCTTCAAGCATACCAATGGCTCGCAGACGCTCATTTTCGGACAGGCGTGGCATTTCGTAATGTTGAATAAGTGCATAATTTTGTTGTTTTTCTGAGTGGTTTTCAGCACGATGCTAAACAATGCATATGGAATCCCGTTAACGCACATGTTTTTATACCCATTCTTGGGTAGAGAAATGCATGGGGCTTGCATAAAAGTCAACTTTTGCATGGAATGCATGCTTTTCTGCAGCAGTTGCGTTTTTGTGACTTGATTCCATACATGTACTACAATATTGGAAACCAAACTTTACTTGTTTGAAAAATACACTAAAATATTGGTGTCATAGGAACTTTGGTTGTTGAGTATATTTCGGATAGAGAAATCAATTGCACACAAAAACAATACAATAAGACAGTTTGACAGACAATGAAAAAAATGGCAAATGAATTGTCTAGTTAATATGTTTCTAAGTTTTTTTTAACATGAACAATTTCCACTAATGTGCTGTAAGGATTTAGCTTCACACTTAGTCAATAAACATGGCAAATGTAGCCTGCCCGTTTCACCATTTGTAAACATTGTTGTACACTTGTAGCCAACTTAAATTTGCTGTCTGCTGTATAGGTATGTACTGACTGACTGACTGAGTATGGTTTTACGCCACTTTTAGCAATATTCCAGCAATATCACGGCGGGGGACACCAGAAATGGGTTTCACACATTGTACCCATGTCGGGAATCGAACCCGGGTATTCGGCGTGACGAGCGAACTCTTTAACCACTAGGCTACCCGACCGAAAAATATTTTTTAAAAAGAAAAAGAAAGACTTACAGGCTATGGTTAAGTCCAAATTACTGCATCTGAATCTAGTTATCAATGATTCCAAATACGTTTGGATAAACATAGATAACTCTCTTTATCATGTAATGGGTAGATTTTTCGGCAGGATAAAGCCAACGGATAAAAACGATATCCGTTGGGGTCATATGCGGATAGAGATGCAAATATCAAAGGTCAAGTAGGGACTACTTTCACTGTTTATAAACAAACATGGCGTCGCCCTTGTCATTCGGCGATCGAGTCAGAATTAACCATCGGGAATCTGGATAAACTACAGAGATAATTGCTATCATTATCAAAAGAACAGTCTAATATACTGAAAAGCAGTGTCTAACTGTGACGTAGCGAAGGCATTTTATAAGTTTTGGCAACTTTGGAGAAGCAATTTTGCGAGGGCACGAGGCCTGGCCAAGCGGGATCAGTAGCTTTATCTGTGCTTGTAGACCTCTGCGGCTTGAAACCTTCTCCACAAATTAAAATAGTTGGATTTGGCCGAAAAATGTTTGAATTGTTACCTTGTTTCGTTTTGTCGCTGTGTGTACATCTGACTACACTGCTTAACGTTATGACAGGACAGACCGACTGTCAACAACGTCTGACTGTGGCCGTGACGTCTCATAGACTAGGTTTAGAGTAGCTTCCCTTTGACAGACCGATGGATTGCCGCGAAAGGCAATTAAAAACAATTGTTGTTTTGCGTATATGTTGCTTCGCCACTGTATAAGAAACAGATTTCAGTTGGAACTATATTGGCTACTGTCACTGTCCGACTGACACATCACTTACCCTGTGACGTAATATATTAATGCGCGCATTCCAGGAAAACTCGCAATGTTTCGGTAATGTTTATGAGAGAGGGAAAGCGATTTTGAAGCACAAAATTAAAGAATGACATTATATGATAAAGAGGTTATCACGCTTGTGTGTTAGGGGATGGTAAATATCCCGTATTAGGAATAAACACTATGTATTTAGCTCGCCAAGGCTCGCCAAATACAATGTTTATTCCTAATGCAGGATATTTACCATCCCCAAACACACTCGCGTGATAACCTCTATTTATCATATAATGGTTAGGTTTCTCGGCAGGATAAAGCCAACGGATAAAAACGATATCCGTTGGGGTCATATGCGGATACAGATGCAAATATCAAAGGTCAAGTAGGGCCTACTCTTTGTGTTTATAAACAAACATGGCGTCGCCCTTGTCATTCGGCAATCGAGTCAGAATTAACCATCGTGAATCTGGATAAACTACAGGGATAATTGCTATCATAAGCAAAAGAACAGTCTAATATACTTAAAATCAGTGTCTAACTGTGACGTAGCTAAGGCATTTTATAAGTTTTGGCAACTTTGGAGATCTAAATTTCGAAACAATTTTGTGAGGGCACTAGCCCTAGCCAAGCGGGATCAGTAGCCATATCTGTGCTTGTAGACCTCTGCGGCTTGAAACCTTTCCACAACTTAAAATAGTTGGATTTGGCCGAAATAGATTTGAAATGTTACCTTGTTTCGTTTTGTCGCTGTGTGTACATCTGATTGCACTTCTAACGTTTTGACAGGACAGGCTGACTGTCAACAACGTCTGATCGTGGCCAAGACGTCTCATAGACTAGGGTTAGAGTAGCTTACCTTTGACAAAGGGCAGTTACTCCAGCGGACAGACCGATGGATTGCCGCGAAATGCAAGTCATTTTTTGTTGTTGTTATGCGTATATTTTGCTTCGCCACTGTAAAAGAAACAGATTTCAGTTGGAACTATATTGGCTACTGTCACTGTCCGACTGACACATCACTTACCCTGTGACGTAATAAATATAAATGCGCGCATTCCAGGAAAACTCGCAATGTTTAGGTAATGTTTGTGAGGGAGGGAAAGCGATTTTCTAGCACAAAATTAAAGAATGACATTATATGATAAAGAGGTTATCACGCTTGTGTGTTTGGGGATGGTAAATATCCCGTATTAGGAATAAACACTATGTATTTAGCTCGCCAAGGCTCGCCAAATACAATGTTTATTCCTAATGCAGGATATTTACCATCCCCAAACACACTCGCGTGATAACCTCTATATATTTCACACACACACACAGACACACACAAACACCCCAGTTCATACAAACATACTCACACACGTTATACAATTATACAATTATACAATACATGCATACATAGCTACTTGAAATACATTATTCTTATAGAGATACACTTGGCGAACTTCCGACCCTACTTCAATGGTAAGTAATGTAATCATGTTGCGGCGTATCTACGTCAGAGATATGAGTTGTCAATATATATTCCGGTCATTTAAGTGTTGTTCCTATAGAGGATTTTGTTAAATCAGCTATACTGCTTTAAAGTTGATTAAAATTACATACATTATGTGATCTTTAAAGCAGATGAAAGATGTAACGATGAAATATATTTACAATTTAATACATGTGATAGAAACGACATGTCTCATTAGTTTAAATAGTGTAATATTAACTTGGAAATAATATTCGTTGAAATATACGTGTATTATCGACGAGTGCTGTGCGCATTTCAGCAAGTAGATACTGTGATACTCCGGATGTTGTCGAAGGTAAATATTTAAAACATCAACGTTTATTTTATGTTTTAGCCATTTTGAGTTTAGATGCTGCTTACCTTTTTTCAATATTTACTTCATGTAATTCATATTTGGACTTCAAATAAACAACCTAATGAACCCGTTTGTATATTTTCACTTAATTTGTATATATGCAATATCAGATTTGCCAGTGGGAATGTGTACAGGTTCTCTAAGCGTTTGAGCAGGTGCCCAAATAAACAAGATTTTTTGTAAGACGGCGGTCTGTAAATAATCGAGTCTGGACCAGACAATCTAGTGGTTGACATCATGAACATCGATCCACCCAATTGGGATACGATGACATGCATAAACCAAGTCAGCGAGCCTGACCACCCGATCCCGTTAGTCGCCTCTTACGACAAGCATATACGTCTTTTCAAGCAAGCATGGGTTGGGCAAGCAGGGGGCCCAGTCGTCTAAGGCGCCGCGATTCGCTGTGCAGAGTTGCGTCCCTTGGGCACGCCAGAAACCTATGATTGTAAGCTTGAATCCCAGTTCGCCCCGATTATGTTTTTAGGTTTGTCAGCACCATACCCGTGCTCGTCGGTTTCACCGAAGTGGTAAACATCTGAGACCTGCATCATTTCGGGCTTTCCTCCCACATTAAGCTGACACACCGCGATATAACTGGAATACTGTTAAAAGCGGCGTTAAACCCAACTCACTGAATAACTCACTCATTATAACATGCAAGGCCACAGTAAAGGTTTCAATAGGTATTATGGTATACATGTGAAGTGCATTTCCAAATTTGACGCATAGGTGACAAAAATAATGTCCGATGCAATTCCCTGTTTTGACTTGTTTTAAATGTTCCCGTGGTGTTTTTTTTATCAGGCAAATATTTGACTTTCCTTTGCATGTGTTTGTGACGTTGACACTGGTGGGGCAGGATATGCTCGCTATTTCGTTAACGCCTCGTAATATCACTATTTGATAGTGATTCATAAACACATGCTCATGATATAGTCGGAATCGTACAATGGACTCTGCTTTTAGAAGAGTTTGTTATGATTATTGAAAGGTTTTTGTAGCTTTTGTTGATTTGCATGGATGTGCTATATCTTAAATACGTGTGTGTGCGCGCGTGCTTTTAGAATGAGAGCTTGTGCGTGTGAGTGAGAAAAATGGACAGACAGTAGATACTGGTCCAGCAACCTATGTTTTGTCGTAATAGAAAAGGTTTAAACGAGGATCCAAAATGTCGATGTGGCAGCCCATGTGAAAATTCATATCATTTTTTCATTGAATGTCCTTTATTTAAATCAGCTAGAAACGAATTGATACACTCACAATTGTTAATTGTGAAAGACACTTGTGATGTAAATATTGACCTGATGCTAGTTGGAAATGCAAGTTTACCTAATCCCAGGCAGCATTACACAATTGGGCCAACAGTGGGCCAATGCCGCACTAAACATTGCCGGCAATTGGCCAATGCCGTTTATCAACGATGGGGAAGCATTGGCCCAACACTGGTTGCCATTTGTTAGCCATCTATGGCCCAATGCTGGTCCAATGTTGGCAAGTTTAAAATTACCTTTCCTTTCCTTTCAAACTATGGTCACTAGTTCACAGCTGTCATGCATGCGATCGTGAAGAATTTACGATGATTGCAAAGAAACTCATTAGCAATATCACCTCAGTGTTTCAAATTGAATTACAAATTTGATCATGCTGGTGTGAATAAATGGATATTTAAGAGAAGATCACAATTGAATTTATTACATATTTTGCTACATAGGAATTATCAATAATTATGTATCATTGGCTTTAAATGTAGATTGTCAGTTTTTTAAATTTTGTTTGATAAAACCAAAATCTCAATCGAAGGTCCAAGAGATGTAGGAACAGCGTGTCAGTAAAAACAAAGCTTATGAACTGAAGAAATTCTTGGTCAGTCTACCACAAAACTGTACAGTGCAGTCCAATTCAGCAAGTCCTGCATAGTCAGAAAAATGTAACAGACAACCAGTTGATCCATCTCCTTGTTTATTTACATGAAAATGGCTACTATTTGAATAAATATGCCTCACAGTTAATTAATAATGTGAATTTGAACACAGTTATAAAATAAATGTCTCTAGTTTAAAGTTTTCCTGGTCTGGTTCTGCAAGCAACTCTCCACTAGGAGTAGCTGGTGCCTTCTTTTGTAAGGACTTTAGGATCCGCGCTTTTCTGCCCCCGTCCCTGTCAGGGGCACAGGGAAACCCAGATCTATCTTCTAAAAATTATCTCCTATTTCATTGTTGGTATTTTGGGCCAGTGGGTTCTTTCAATTGACAAGATACAAGCTAACAATATCGTGTTAATTACTCCACACAAAGAGTTCCATGCATATTAATAGTCAGTTAAATTCCCTTGCCTTGGGAAGATGGTGGAATGTGTAGTCGGTATGTTTCACGTCTAGTTGAATTCAGGTCAGATATACTAATAAAAGTAAGAACATGAGTAATCTGAAACATGGATAAATGCAAAAGCTCGAATTTGAATCAGTAAAAGGATGCTGGGATCCATGTACACGAAGCGTTGCCGTAGCATCTTTGTCTCCACACTGACATCTCCATTCCCCTTCATCTTGCGCCCGAGTTTCTTCTATGACTGCTACATACGTTTCTCCTTCACTTTTATTCCTATCTAAAAAGATATGTTCTTCATTAATATTTAGGCAACCGCTGGTCGATGATTTACACTGCAGGACGGTCGTGCCTTTTGGCTCTTTCAGAGTTATTGCCCCATCACAGATGCAGCGTAAAGTCGTTCGTTGTCCAAGGACAGCAGTATCATCAACGTAGAGTGAAGGATAAACGGTTGCATCTGAAGTGGATAAACAAATAAGAACTGATCATTATTATTTTTTACCAACATTCGAATACGTATCTCAAGAGAACTCCAAATTTAACCGTTTATAAGTCGAATACCTGTTTTACAAGTTGTATTTTTTTATTCAATTTTCTCAACAAATTGGCAATTCTTTTCATCTACATGTAAACGTGTAAAGAAATTAAATAACACGTCTACGCTCATGACAGAGTGACTTCAAGTCAGATTCGCATAATCTTAAATCGGATAAACCCACATACTTTTCGATTCCGAGGGAGCCTGAGGACCCGTGGATCCCTTACGCTGTATACGTAGCGTGGCCGTAGACCCTTTGTCTCCACACTGACATCTCCATTCTCCTTCATCTTGCGCCCGAGTTTCTTCTATGACTGCTACATACGTTTCTCCTTCACTTTTATTCCTATCTAAAAAGATATGTTCTTCATTATTATTTAGGCAACCATTGGTCGATGATTTACACTGCAGGACGGTCGTGCCTTTGGGCTCTTTCAGAGTTATTGCCCCATCACAGATGCAGCGTAAAGTCGTTCGTTGTCCAAGGACAGCAGTATCAACAACGTAGAGCGCAGGATAAGTGGTTGCATCTGAAATGATAATAGAATATATTATGCACCTATTCTGAAAAAAAATATGTTTTATGGTGATGTTCCCAACGATCCTCACCGCCCCAGTGGTCTGGTGGTAGAGCGTCCACCCGGAGAGCGGAAGGTCCGGGGTTCGATCCCGGGCGCGTCATACCAAAAGACGTTAAAAGATGGTATTTGTTGTTACCCTGTCTGGCGCTCGGAGTCAGTATACTGTGTCTGAGTGGGGTATTCATGTTAACACTGCGGCATGGTATCTCAGTGAGCTAGCACTATAAATCGGCATCAGTCCGGACAAGTACAAGCAGCCACACAAACACACACACGTGCATGCACGTCGATACATAAGTGCAATTATCTTGGACGCGACGTTAAACCACATTTCACCTCACCTCACCCAACGATCCTCAAGATTGACTTCCCAATTAAAATGCTCTATCATTTACAGTGAGTGAGTGAGGTTATTCGCCGCTTTTACCAATATTTCAGCAATATCACGGCGGAGGGCATCAGAAATGGGCTTCACACATTGTACCCATGTGGATTATCAAACTCGGGACTTCGGCGTGACGAGCGAACGCTTTAACCAGTATTTTTCACCCCCTTCCCCATCCCATCCCGACCCCCACCCCCGCCTCCTATATATGATCATATACAATTTACGTACATAACGAACTCTCTGCAGCGAACTAACGGATATAGCGACTTGATATCTGATCCCCGAGCTGAGAAATCTCACTCAGTGACAAGCGTCACTGACAATTGGCTGTGTGCAACCAGACGATTTGACATTGTTAAACTTGCATGATGTTAATCTTACTTGTCCATGTTATTGGACTTGTCTGTAAAACAAACAAGTTTCGTTCAATTATCTTTTTATTATGTTTACATAATTTCGATGACATTGGAATATATTATTCTGATAAAATAATAATTTCAGATACAATTTCTTCCGACCATTGCATTAAATTTGTTTGAAGTTGTGTCATTTGGTACTTTTTAACTGAATTACCGGTAGATGCGTGTATGTTTATTGTATTTTGTTTTAGCAAGGACGTTTCCGAGCAAAAACGCACATAACGAACAACGTATATAACGAACTGATTTCTCCGGTCCCTTGCAGTTCGTTATATCCATGTTCTATTGAATAAGAAATCTCTGCCAAAAACATAGTCGATTCTACGATTACAACTACATCATAAGCATGAATTTATGAATGTTCAAAGCAGCATGAAAACACAATAACACAGTGTATGAGGAATAAACTTCACATAGGTTGTAAGAGTGTTCCGATGTATTATAGTTTCATCCATACATGATCTACATGCAGCACTCAAAAGATCAACTCACCCTTGAACACAACCAAGAGCACAGCCAAGTGCAGGCGAACCATCTTCAGCCCCTCGCGGTTTATATTAGTAACGCATTCAACTGAAGTGGTATCTACATCAAGCTACAGTGGGAATTCCGTGACTGAGCCTCGTCATGTAAATAACGCCAACAGTTTGTTCCGGCCGCCGAGCAACAAAACCGCCCCACACACAATCCGCTAAGTTAAAACGTTATTCTACGGGACGTTTATCAGAATGGTAGTAGGATAATTATAAATGCACGAATGAATAACAGCAACTGCGCAGCATGTTTTGGCATCCTATTGTTTACATAATTTCGATGACATTGGAATATATTATTCTGATAAAATAATAATTTCAAATACGATTTCTTCCGACCATTGCATTAAATTTGTTTGAAGTTGTGTCATTTGGTAATAATACAGGATATTTACCATCCCCAAACACACTCGCGTGATAACCTCTATATATTTGAAAGTATCTTATCATATACGTGGCTGTAAGTATTTAAGAGAATGTCAATTGATGCATACCTTGTTCGCATTAGATTGTATAAAAGTCTAAGTGTTATGATATTGCTTACACAGTTGGGAATCATCTACATCTGGGGCCAAACAGACATATCCAAATCTGCTTGACGTAGAAGGCGAATGTGCTGGTCGTAAGAGGCGACTAAGGAGATCGGGTGGTCAGGCTGGCTGACTTAGCTATAGTTGATGCATGTCATCGTATCCCTTTTGTGTAGATCGATGCTCATAATGTGTCAATCATTGGATTGTCTGGTCCAGACTCGATTATTTACAGAACGCCGTCATATACGGAATATAGCTGGAATATTGCTGAGTGCGGCGTTCAACAAAAACAAACAAACAAAACAATTAAACAGGAACTACCCACAGGTCAAACTACTGATCATATGAAATTATGAATCATCATAGTAGCATCAAGGGAAATGATTTCTTGCTCAGTTGGTTCATAATATTATTTGATCAGAAAAATACTACATTATAATACCACAAAACACCGATATATATCTGTGCTATCTCTGTTATACATTATCTTAATAATGATATTTGATGATGATTGATGAAAAGCAATAATTGCATTCACTTATGAAATTCAATTCCGATAACGAGTTGAATTCGTTTGAAATTGATGCATGTATATAACAATTTGACTTATAGCGTCTTTAACGACAGAATATTGACAGGAGCGGGTGACCTCGCCCAGGTGAACACCTTCTCGATGAACGTCACTATGTCACGTGATTACATTGTCAATGGTGCGGATACATACAGAACTACTTTGGGGAGATTTTTCAATGTCTAAAAATAACATTAAAAATCATTTGGGAAAACTGAGAGCGACATCGGTTCAGGCTAAGAATGATGCAGGCTTTGAAACCAGACAGATCATGTATATGTCGGGTCACCGAAATGAAATCCAACCCCGCCGCCTCAAGCGGTAATCCCCGTCATCAGCAGCCGTGGTATGACTCAAACACACACCCAAAGTTAACAGAACGTTAATAGCAATCCATTTTCAGCATCAGCCGGGTCTGGACTTCTTTCCAACGCAAACTTTACTTGGTGCACCTTTTTTTTCAAGCGAATGACATTGCCGTAGCCGCCATTTTCTGCCGTTTGTTAAGGGATGTCCCTCCAAATCGAATGTTTGGACGGATGACGTCACGGCGTCACGAATCTCCGCGTTGATATAGCTCGCTTTAAATAATTAAAGTTTGATGTTTAATTGATTGTTTTGTTATGATTTATGTATCTGTCAATAAAAGGATTGAAGTTGTATTTGTTGACGTTCATCAGCTGATGAAGACAGTGCCTCACGTGAGCTTCGTTCGATAACAAAAAACAGCACAGTCAGCGGAGTCTTCATGAATGTACTGGCCCTTTAGCCCGTTGCCATAAAAGGATCGTACACCATCCGCTTCAGATCAGTTTTAGAACCAGCAGGTATAAACTCTCACGGAACACGACACCAACTCAGCGAGAGTGAATAGGCGCAACACAAATGAACGAATAAGGGCAATTCAGACAATAGACCCTCCCAACCATCACCGCGAATCTTACACTTCGTTATCCATGCAATAATGTCTTATAAGTAGTTATTTTGGAAAACGAAATAATTTAAGAGTAATTGTGCTTAGCGTTGTATTTGAACAGCATGACACCGAACAGAACAACAGGCTGCGCATCTGAGAAGATAGAATCACACAACACGTGAAACGGGTCTAATAAAGTCTTATGACGTCATTCCTTTATCAATTGGCACCAATGACGTCATATTGCAAGGGGCATAAGCCATGGTGTGTTTATTTAAGAATTCACCTTCACTTTGTGTGAGTTCATTGGAGTATGAACCTTCATAGAGTGAGAGCCAAACTGTGTGAACGTCGGATACCGACGATAGTTTGGATGTGCATTTCTTCGTTTGTTCATTAGGATGGGCCGTAGCGAGGAAATTCGTGAACAATCATGCAGTCAAGCTCTCTTACGTTTCTCAATGTATACTGAAATGCTGAGACCAAGAATAAAGGTTCTAAATGATCAGAAATTATGCTTGAAATAATGTATGTTTTCGTGCTAGGGAATTCCCAGGGTTTTCCCCAGGAATGTGGAAGTAGTCCGTCAGTGTTTACGTCATTTCAAGAACACTTATGAACGTCAATTTCGCGGTCATGTGACCGACCTCTCGTCCAATGGAAATAGCCTTATATCGTGTAAACGTCAAATTAAAAAAATAGTATGGAAATAGAACTCTCGGTAAATGTGAAAAATATGAACCGATTAATTAATAAAATAAATTAGACACTTGTGATATTTTGCCTCTGAAACTACTAAGTAAATACTTTTCATGATGAAAAATTACAAGAAACATAGGTATATTTTTGTATGAACTTGCCCCTTTAATCGCCTCTTCAGACATAGCCGCCTCTTAGAGCAAGCATGAGTTGCTGAAGATCTATTCTACCCCGGATCTTCACGGGTCCCCTTATGTACCATTGTTGATGATATTACAATACAAATATCTATCTAAGTTATTAAGATATGAATATAAAACCTAATCATCACAACCCGATTCTCATTTTTATCAATAAACTTGAGATTTATTATCCACGTGCGTCTAATCATTTGTGTTTGAATGCGACAAACATGACATTTCTTTTCGGTGTTCTAAGGAAATTAAAAAGTCAGTGAAACGAATTATATAATTTAAGCATATAGCGTTCCACGTGCATCTAATCATTTGTTTTTAAACGAAACATTTCTTTTCGGTGATCTAAGGAAACTAAAATGTCTGTTGTGTGCAAAACAACCTTGGCGATGCAGTACTGCATTTCTGAGAAATCTTTTTGAATGAAAAGACTAGATTCTGTGTGGGTGTACGCACTAACGTTTGCAGGAACTTCAGCTGTGTCTCCACTGGTGCCATTAGTAGCTACTTGAACCGACTCTTTGTTTCCCAATATAGTTTTCATTGTCGACAATTTCTATAGTACCGCAGAATACCTACATTAAATACATTAGATGCGTTATGAAGATGTGTTGGCAATAGGAATATTTTATTTGATGTGAATCTGCAAGCATGCAATTTCCGAAGAAGTTATAGTTTAGAATAGAGTGAATATTGTGTTTTCCATGGACTGTTTGTTCAACTGATACATAATATTATAAATAGACCATTAATGTCTTTGATTCAGTATTATCATATTTTCACGAAATAGAAGGAATATAAAATTATAGCAGAGTTTAAACTTCTTTTGTTTGAATTTTCAAATAACATTTAAGAATAAAATGTACACAAAATGCACATTCTAGCCGTAGGTTATTGTTACGGAAGCCTTTTAGGGCAATTTGTTTTATATTTTAAGATAGTAATTTGAAATTTCAAGATGCTATGTTGAAATTTCAAGATACTAAATTGAAATTTCAAGATACATACGTTGTTATTTAAAGTTAAAATCTTAATATTTCAACTCATTACCTTGAAATTTCATGATCATTATCTTGAAAGTTCAACTTAAAATCTTGAAATTTAAACATAGCATCTTGACATTTCAACTTAGTATCTTGAAATTTCAAGACAAAAAACAAACAAACCAAATTGCCTTAAAAGGCTTCCGGATATTGTACATCAGATTCTTCAACAAATTAAAACCATGACATTTTCTATAATAAATAAAAAGGCTGTTGTTATGGAAATTCGTTAAAGCTGAAATAGGCTTTACCGATGTACATAACAGCCTCTTATTCATTCAAGAAAATGAACTTATTATTGGCCATTTTTTAAATAAGTTATATATCACATATCAAGAAAAACCATGTGATGCACTCCTTGAACTCTGATAAATATCATGCTTTCAACAAAAAGTCTTTTGTCAATACGTACGTCTGGTGTACATTACTGCCATGTTCACTGCAGTCACCATGGTAACTGCCTCTGCGGAAACAAAGCTTGGACATGTTTGTATGTCCATCACTTCAGCTCACTGCATCACAAGGGGACGAGTAAGATGTAAATTCCTATAGTTTACTGTACACCTTGGGGAACATTACCTCGAGGTATTTGTAGGTCGAGGTAAGTGTCGATATAAGAGTATATGATTGATGCGCAATTTAAATGTAAGGAGTTAATAGGGTAGCCTACTGGTTAAAGTGTTCGCTCGTCACGCCGAAGGTCTGGGTTCGATTCCTAACAACGGTACAATGTGACGTTCCCCACGCGTTATTGCTAAAACGGCGGAAGACAATACTCACTCACTCACTCGAGTTGATTTCGCGAAATAGTAAACGCTTCAACTTTCCTCCCAAATTTAGCTGACGTCGTTTATGATTATACTCAACTCACTCACTATTACTGGAGAACCGTGAAGATCAGGGATAGAATAGGTCTTCAGCAATCCATGCTTGCCGTAAATGGCGACGATGCTTGTCGTAAGAGGCGACTAACGGGATCAGGTGGTTAGGCTCGCTGACTTGGTTGATGCAACTCATCGATCCCAACTGCATGGATCGATGCTCATGACATCAATCACTGGATTGTCAGGTCCAGACTCGATTAGTACAGACCGCCGTCATATGGCTGGAATATTGCTGAGTGCGTCGTTAAACCACAAACAAACAAACGAACAAACACTTATACTGGAAATGTTTTCCG